ATTATTCCTGTTTTGATTTTAAGATACTTGTAAAATCCATCAGGTAATCTGTAACATGTTTGGTCTAATTAATACCAGGGTGAATCAGCAATATTAAGAGAAAAGGTGCAAAGGAAAGGTACAGGACCAAATACAATTTGTGAGGTAAATTATAAACTATATTGCATCATTATCATACAGAGAAAATGCTTGTACAAACCTCTCAGCTTACACTGTCACCCTCTGGGGTGTCAGTTCATGACTCGAGATGATTAAAATGACCAAATATTGACAAAGTGTTTTGCCTGCATCTGGCACCATTTAAATACTTTTTAGTTACAGAAACTGCAGGGAAGTACTCCTCCTCCTTGTACTTAAAATTAGCATTGCTACACAATACATAGCACCTTGCCAAATGTGGAAACACTGAATTGTACATACTTACCCTTCTTTCATTAAGTACTTTAAAGGTCTATGGATGAAAGATGCAACATAAATACATAAATGTCAGGTCTGAGCATTATTGTAGATCACTTGATTTTTATAACGGAGTTTCCTTCTTACTAATTTTATCTCTGTCACCTGCTTTTTGCCATCTGATAAAGGCTTGTTTCTGCATCCCCTAGCAACAATGTCACCGTGTCCAGGAAAAGGGAAGGCTGAGCAGGCGGTGTTAAATCCGGTGGAGCTCCCACCCCTAAGCTTCTCAGCTGGCTACTGAAGTAACCCTTCAGTAGGTACAGTGTCTGCTGGCTGATGTAGGAGTAAAACTCTGCATGAACACAAGTCTGGCTGGCTTTGAAGCTTTCTGTTACTATATATACACACATGTCCCTCAAAACATCATCTTCTCTCTCTGCTACCTGACACAGTGGAGTTTATCACTGAAACACCAACCTGGAGTAAAGCACGGGATACCTTCCATTTTTTGAGAAACGAAAGCCAAAATCTTTTGCTCAACTATTTCAGAGGGACCAGGTAAGAGACTTTTACCTTTAAGTCTTGAATTCAAGTCACACAGTAGATTTACTTTGGCTGTTCTATGAATTCTCTCAGCTTTGTAGGAAAAATGACCAAAAATAGAGAATAAAAGTGGAGAACAAAATCACAACCCCTTAAAGCAAACTAAGTTGTCTGACAGGATTTAAAAAAATCCATATAAGTAATGTTTCTAAAATGGGAATAAAGATTTATATCGTCTTTTTGGTGAAACTGTGAACTAGACTTTATATAAACTGCCACAGCATTTGCAATAGTAATTATGCTAAAATAATTATGACCTGAAACAGCTGAAAATCTCGGTTGTACAATTTTATGGAACATTGTATTAAGTAAAATATATTGATAAATTTTGTTATTTTCCATAAACATTTATTAATGTAAAGAATATTTTAAAAGCAATTCAGCAAGGTTGTCTAATCGATTTTGTTTAAAAAAACCAAAAACAACCAACTATTCTTAGAAAGCATATACATTTCCTGAACACTGCAGCCACTGGATCTTTTTAAACCTTATTCTGACTGTAAAGCAACTGATTATCAAATTTTTGTCCCTGATTTAGGTAAAGTGACCTTTTATACTTGTATATTTAAACTAAGTAATTTAGCTAAATTGCAGTCTATATTTCCAGTTCTTATAGCTCTACTTTAAAACTCTGAGGTTTTTTTGTTTTAAACAGCTGCTTATATTGCTGCATCTCAGGAACAGACAAAGCATTCCAGCAGCAGTCTCACCACAGCCGAACGCAGTAACACTGATATAGCCTCCTTACTGCTATGAAAGGATTCTGGTTTATTTATTCTGCATAAATCATACACACTTTAGTTAAATATGCCTCTCTAACTATTTGTAAGAACCGTAAGTAAATAGCATGCATTTGTCCATTCTACTGGAAGTTACTCTTACTTATTACTGGGAGCTGCTGCTTCTTGGCCTAATTTTCATTCCATATGCATGCTCTTTTAACAACAGTACTGAACCAGTCCTTATCACATGTGTGTAACTGTTGCAAACTTTGTACTTTAAAATACATACAAATGAGTAGAAATCAAAGATGTCTTGTAAACACTTAATTTTCCATATATTATTGATTGTTTACTATAGTCTATAGGTAGACTATATGAAGATAAATATATATGCTAACCTATATATAGGCTATGCATTTTCTCACTCTAGTTATCTGCATGTAATGATGGGGGACAAAGATGTCTAGAACTGTGTGAGAAACTAGCACACTGATTTTCAAGGAATCCAGACTCCTAGGAAAAACCTTCTTGCTGCCACAGCCTTATGCATCTATGACTGCTAGCCTAGCCCAGAATTTGCAAGTGTGATCAGCACAGAAGCTACACAGAAATGCCCTTTTCATGTTGTGGTTTAGAGGAAACTCAGCTTAATGGAACAGTTAGAGAAGGTAGCCTACTAGCAATGAAAAGAATACACCACTCTGCTATAATCATCACAGATTCCTTACAAAAAAAAATTTCCATGTCCACAGATAAAAATTCCTCCTGTACCTCCAACTTAATCTTTAACTTCCTCTGCTTTCTGATCTCTGCAAATGAATGCAATGACCACTCAGACTGGGCCTTAATACAGCTTACCTCTGAATTAATCAAAATTAATTCCAAAATGGCTGGAAGGTTTGCATTGTAACTCCTAATTGCAATAAAGGTCAGCTCTCTGTACAAGGAAACAAAACATCTCAAGACATTAAAACATGCTTGTACAAAGTTATCTTATAAAAAATGCCCATAAAGCATAGGAGAGAAGAGCAGGTGGCAAAAAAGGGCCCAGATTACATAAAGAAGAAAGACGACTGACAAAAGTAAAGACTATTTTCTCCATATGCAATATATTTAAAATAGGTCTAGACAAATTATACAGCTGGCACTGGTAGACAGGATGGGTAATGAAAGACAAATCACTAAGAGAAAAAAAATTAGTGATAACACTAGTAACATAGTTCTAAATATCCTTCAATGCATCAGTCATTGCAAACATTTTAAAAACTGTCAAATTACTAAGGCTTCTATGCATGCTGTTACGCTAAATGATTAACTATCACTTCTCTCTCCAACCATCAATCTTAGAATGTAACACTGTTGTAGATGACCATGCAAGATGCCTCAACTCAATTTTGTTTTTTTCCTGTCAACTAATCTCTTTATATCTGACTCCTGTATGTAAACCCCCATTAATTCAGTCTTCACATAAATGCTAACATTTTAAAAAGCCAGGCCTCACAATAAACAGTGTTATCTCAAGGTTGTTGTAATTTATTTGCAAGTTATTCTCAAGCAATGTTATAAAACATTTTAATGTCTTGATAAGAAAATAAAATTTAAATAAAAATACATTCAACAATACATCATCATAATACAAATTAAAACTAATGATAATTTACAATCCTAACAGAACTAATTACTGAATAACATCATCTGTCTAGACTAATCAAAATGAAGGCAACTTTTATTATTAATCATCCTACTTGTACCTCATTAAATTCTAGAACATCTACTGCATTTTAAAACATTATAAAATGAGAAATCAAATCTTAATGGTCACAAATATTCAATGGCCTTTGTTTTTTTCCTAGATATCCCAGTACCAAAGCAAAAAAAAAAGTGCATATTTTTAAAAAAATGTTGCAGGAGTATACAATTTAATTTTTCATAAATTTCACTTTGAAAACAACAGAAAATGGCTCCAAGGAACAGACACTTTGCCACAGGGTTAATCCACACACAGCAAAACCTAACTTTGACACTCAACTACATTCAACTTTGTTTAATGGCAGCTTTTTATTAATGGCAATTAATCAGACACACTTCACCTTGGCAAAACACATTTCTTGGCAT